AACTCTCGAGGCACTCTGGATTAATTCCAGAAATCCGAAAATGAACCGCAGGGAAGAATGCCTCATTATCACGCGCGATATAAGGCAGTATATAAAACTGCTTTTCTGATGTGAGGGGCACATTATACTTCCATGTGATTTCTGTGCGGTTGGTCTCTACGTGACATACTTAGTGGAAACCTCATAGAAAGCGGTGAGTGTGCAAAGCTGTGTTTAAAGTGATTGAAATCTTGGTTTAGAGTTTCTTTGTTTGGTTATGGAGGCGTCTGCCCGAGTAGATTGCTATCAACTTGACCTTTCCAGACTCTGAGGAAGGCGAAATCCGCCGAAACGTCAGCTCATTTGTGAATAAAGAATAATAACACCTCGCGTTTGCTCAACAAAAATACGAAGTAAATAAAAGGTTAACATTGGAATAACTACGTAATTACCAATTAGAAAATGTCACATTTCTTTACTTCATCCTCAACAAGGACAGAAGTCCCCAGAACACATTCTACCCAATGTATGATAATAACCCCTACGATAATTCGTGCCATTAGAACATCACAGAGAGTACTAGTAAGAATACCATCAGATCCGTTCTCTACTGGTGAATTCAACCAATGAATGAGTTCTGATTACACATATTGAGTTCTGATCCATTGCTCCGTTCATTTATACTTTAACTACACTGATCTTATGGAAAAAAACCTCAATATTGAGCAAGAACCAACATCATTGAAGTCCCTGTAAAGTAGATGTGTGTTTATAAGCATACGAATCACCACTGAAAAATACCACGAGTGTCAAGGACACTACAATCCAAGAGGGATACGTTATATCACCACACTCTTTCCCGATGTTCTGCAGCGGTCACCTATGGGAATTAAATGGTCTTTTTACCTTCATTTCACATGAATAGTTACTATATCTACTGTGCAGACCCCAGAATTTCCTGCATTCTATTCGTTCTTCTTGAATTCACCGTCCACTAATGTCTGCGAACATTTCACGTGTTGTTTCGGATGCTGGTTGAAGATTTCGTCTTAATTATGAATGTCCTAGAAGCTGTTCGAGTCGATTCTTCTTGGAATCTTGGAGATAGCCGGGCTAAGGCGTTCTAACATTGATTGGGGAGAGCGCTGGAGTATACATCAAGCCAGTATCTTGCTTCCTGATCGATGTCACTCACTAACCACTACGCTGTCTTTGGATAAGGACTCTTCCATTACGGTTGCAATCCTTGCGATTATAGAAACGACCGATTGAAGTAGGCATAACGGGATGAATTAGTGTTCATGACAGAGAACATCTAGAACGTTCTTTCTGCGATCGTGCCGTAATGATAAACAACCACTCCGTTAATGAGAAGACACATCCACAATACAAGAAAAGGCCCAAATGTCAAAATCTTCGACTTGACCACAATTTCTTTCCGTGGTAAGCAATTCTATACCTGAAATAAAGTTTTTGTTTTACAATATGAACAAAATAACAAGCGAAAACCTTATCATAGATATCGACATGCATTACGAAATGCGACCAATCCACATGCACAATCTGTGGGACAACAGAAATTCCACTTACAAACGTAACTCTACATCTATTAGACCCTTAATTTTTTGCATGTAAAGCCCATTACAATATTTACAGCAGAGTGGATGAATAAGAATACTTTGGCACAAAACAGATGACGCAAGTACCAAAGAGAAATCGTTCACATTCCTTAAAACAAAGGGTGAATTGACAGTAAACATTACTGATTCACCTGTGCTGATGAATCTTTATTTTCCAATACAAAACTGGGAATTACTTCACGTAGCTCAATTTTATGCTCTGGAAACATGCGATAAATCATTATTGTTGTGAACTTGACATTGTTAGCACTCGGATAATTGTTTCGATAGAATCCCGTTACATCCATCCGATGTTTAAGCAGAAGATGCAAATAGTATCTGAAGAAAATGAAGTTGCCAAAACAGTTAGAGAGCCAAAAACAGCAAAAATAATTCCGATAGATCCTCAATCTACAAAAGTTAGCAGAAAACGAAAAAAGCACTACACGTAATAAAAGAAGACATTATTTCAATCCTAACGTCTAGTCCTACCAGAGAGCCGTAAGCTTATCAAAGAACGATAAAAATAAACTTTAAGAGGCAACAAATTCCACTGATGCCTTGGTTACTCCTTCCTACGAAAAAGTTTAAATCTGTCACTTACTGAGTAGGAAAGTCGAAATTCACTTCACAAGCATTACATTTCTCGCCTGTAAGCTGCGTTTCTGTCGCAAGGAATTGATTGTCGAAATAAAACGACAACTGCACGTCCAAGATACTGCCACCATGATTAACAACTGAAGCACATGGAATTGAAAGATGACTTGAAAGTAGATAAAAGAGAAATCGCGGCTTAAAAAGAAAGGATAAGAAAAATTTCGAGAAGAAAAGATTCACGAGCCTGCTCAAGAGAGCTAAATCTGCTCATCACAGTAAATTATACAAAATTAAATATACCTGATCAAACATTTAATTGGTCTATTTTTTTCCTTGAAAAAGACTCTCTTCAGGAAAATGGTCAAAAAACAACCCAATGATTTGATTACCACCTCCTTCGAAACTATGTCATATTTTTTTCAAATGAACCTCTGAATGAAAAGGCAAAAGTAGGCTGATTTTCAAAGAAAAAGGCACGTACTGTGCGCAACAGCTTCCACCGGATTGTTGAAGGACTCCTTGACACAATACGGACACTTTTCGCTATTTAAAGGACCAATAGAGTAGCCAGTGCTTGTCTCTCTCACTGACGATAGTTGAGGTGGCGAAGACGCATTAGCTGATGAAGGAGAAGGCTCGCCTTTTAATGTTGAAGATGGCAATGGTGCTGTATCGATATCTGAAACGACTACAGATCAGCAATCGAAGATGGAATTACAATTCTTTTCTTCCGCAGAAAACCTAGAGGGTAGTATGCACAAGGAGAACCACATTTCAACTTCCCCACATGTAAACCGGATAATTAATCGTGTTAAAATATCACCTGCACCTAGAATTATTAATTCGACCTAGGCAGGGCACGTATATAGTCGTCACTTGTTGCAAACGATAAATAAGAAATCGAATCTACAATCTACATGTTGTTGATCCAAGTTGCTTAACGAAGTTTTACCAATTAAGGTTACAGACAAGAGATACGGAAGAAGGGCAAAAAATTTTTCTTATTCTCATCTACATTACGAAAACTTTATTTTCACATTCTACCTGAACATTCTAAACCTGTTTTAAGAATTTGTTACACGATTTGGCAAAGCTAAGTAAACTTTACAAATACACCGTTTAGCAAACCTAAATAGATTTCACAACAAGTGGTCAAACTGTACCCAGAGCGTCCACTGCATCAATGAGGTACTCAATAGCTTACAAAAGCATACGACTTTTTTGCATGTAGAGAATAGACGATTACATGTTAGCAGTTCGAAACAGAATTTCGAGAAAATGAAGAACCTCTGTCCTTTGTTGGTTTTCGTCTAGCTATTGGTATCGCTTGATCTCTCATCGCCGCCATAGCTGTATGTTCATCCTGTAATTTAAAAAACCAAAACAATGTTGATTCATGCTTCTGAAATTTTTACTTTTATAGGACTTTTATAAGAAAACGTTCACATTTTTGTGAGCCGACTCCTATTTAACTTTAGTTTAAGTGATAGATGTCTTTTAATGGCAAGCTAACATGAGCTTATTGTAAAATTTCCATTAAGACAACGTTTCATTGTCTTCGTCCTCGTCGAAACCGCATTTATTCGAGCGCACTATCCATAGATGCTTGCTCTGCAATGTGGGTCCTTCTAACCATATCGAGTCGAATCCAGTGAGGTGAGTCTATTCGGGAGGTTCTCCAGTCCGATTGGTTTCATGAGACCAAACTGTCAGTGGGAAGTCAGTAAATAGCCATCCTATGTAAATGGGCACTACCAAGATAGACCAGTTCATGCGAGCAGTGCTCCACTTCACTGGATTCGATCCGATACTACCACAATGACCCACTACATTAAAATTAACGACCGTGAACGATCGACTCGAATCATTGTGGCCCTTTTTTTCAAAGATTACAATCTAATTAACACGAAACGCAACAACAGATCCACATATACTACCTAATACTTACCAATTTTCTTTTTCTTAGTTCTCTCCGTTTTCGAGCAGCTTCGATTTTGCGCAGCCTCTCGCGTTCTGCTTGCTGCTCCTCCTCCCGCTCCTTTTCTCTAACATACTGTCTTCGTTCTTCACGATGCAACATCTCTAATTTGTCAGCTCCTCGAGAACGACTCTTTGCTTGACTTCTCATTTCTCTTTCTAACTCTTCAGATTGTCGAAACGAGGAAGACCCTATGAGATAACAGACAACCAGTGATCAAGTGTAAAGCTATTTTACGTGGTATTAGAGTATACTTGTTGGTTATTTCATAACTCTATAAGTACTTGGCGCTACAAAGCTAAGTTGTGGTTTCCTTTGCAGCGCTTAAAAAATTTTATCATGAAATCAATCTAGAGGTCTCCTGTACATGCAATAATGACCTTTCATTAATTAGTATTTACCCACTTTTAGTTCTAAAGCACTGGAGAAGACTGGACACCTACCGCTACTTCTACAAGCATCTTCCGAACGAGAATGTCCCACCCGTCCTGGCTTCGAATCAGTTTTTTTGGACCTCTCATTAGCTTTCCTTTCACTCTGAATGTGACGAACAAAAAGCAGTTAACCCTCAAGCCAGAAAATGGCAGGAAAAACTACTTTCAGTAAAGGTACTACAAATACCTTGGTATTAATAAATATAACTACTTACTTCAGTTCTATCAAAATGATAAATCTGGTAAACAAGAGCGAATGATTGATGAGCGATGAGATGCTTTTGGTACTCATGACGCTCACGAAACAGCTCGCCGCATATGAAACATAAATGATGCTGTAGCTCTGCGGCTGTCCGGCGTTCGTTATTCCTATGAGCCAAGAAACAACTTCAATCTATTGTGCGCAAGATTCAAATCAATACTGGAAGAAAAAGAACCAACAGATTCCACCATAGAGATGCGGACTGTCGGTCAAACGACAAAAGGAAAAAAATTTACAATGCGCGACATACACACTAACATTTTTTGAACCAACATGCAAACCCTCCCAACGGTTTACTGCCTCATCGTGACTGGGAGATGTTCCTGGATATCAGGCTACGATGTACAGCGAGAGGTTCATCCTCCCAGCAGGGTCTCCAAAGCTTAGAAGGAGCCCAGCGCTTCCAAGAGCGATACCAGAATCCGCCACCGTTCTACTACCACAGTAGTCGCATGGTGGCAAATCTCCCTCTGACCCACAAGGGAGGCAACAGCCTTTGAAGGTGACGACCTGGGGCCGACTTTGACCTCGATGACCCGGCACTTCAGGAAACCATTATGGCTAAACTAACAAAACTCTGAAACAATGGGAATTATGTTGGGGCCAGCGCAACCAATGAAGATGGGCTATTCAAATGTTCAAGCAAGTAATATACAGACAACAGCAACGAGTATATAACACACAAAACAGTCAGAATTTACCTCAGATACATTCCCATGTCGAAGTGTTCTATGAAGAACCAGAAACCTTGAAACTGTGAACTTTCTGCTAAAATGTTGTTCACACAGAACTTAGGCACATACCAAACATAACACAAGATTGTAAAAACACAAAGTATACGGCGATTTTGTACCATTTTGAAAGGAGAAAACTACAACGAAAACAAAATACAACGTTCATTCGAATGTCAAGGTCAGCAGGAAAGTTATAAATATAGTCGGACCATCAATCATGTAAGAAAATCTACGAAACTACAAAAAACTGACAAATTTGGGGTGTTGAAGCAATTAAAATGTTCCTATTCCTAAACTCTACATAAAGTTGGTAGTAGTGCATAACATTAATACATAAGTACTAGTAAAATGTATCAAATCACAGGAATTGCCTGCACAAAAATGGTTTAAGAATTTCAAAACCACTAACTTATTTCGATACAAGAAAAGCAGAGCAAATCGATGGGTAACATAAACCAACAAGAAAACAAGAGGATGAATTTGTGAGCAACAGATTTGGTCCATATTTGATGAAATGTGGACGAAAAAAACACCAAGGAAGACAGTACCAATGGAGAACACCATGCAGAATTCTTATGATTAATAACTAGCAAAGTAGAGTAAGATAGCAACAAAAGTACCCACTTCTTCAAACAGTGCCACCAAATCGAGCTTCTGGCGAACGCTGTGAAGCCCGCGACTTCTTGAAAATCTCCTCTTCATTTTTAAATAGCGCTATTTGATTAGATAAATCCAGTCGAAATTCACCCTTCTCACCATGTCGACAAAACAGGTCAAAGTCAGGCGAAATGATCCGTTTGATGTCATACACGATGTCTGGGGTGGGAAAGCCGAACTCTCTGAAAGTCTCCAAGTCAAAAACGCTCGATTCATTTGAGAGGGATATTCTCTTTCAGAACTAGAATGCCACTGCCAGAAGGTACTACGTGGACAGGTAGGGAAACCACAAAACTAAGATGAAAGAAGAAAAATCTGATAGCTAAACGACAACGATTAGCAAAATGGATCAGGATCCAGAAAAATAAACCTACACTATAAAGGCAGCAAATCCTAGGTTGAAAAGAAAAGTAGTGCATGAAACTCTCCAGAAATCAGAAAACGCCTCCTTTCTGTCCTTAAACATGATTCGTTCACGATTTGGAAGAAACTTTGGCGAAAATAAACGCAAGCACCTTTGCATTCCACGTTCTTCCGAGCTCTGAAACAAGTTTCCTCACCAAGTACATGAGAAAAACAAATCCACAGAACTAAAACAAACAAACGTGATTCAGAGGGACTAGGAAAATGGGAAATCCCGAGCTACCCGCCCACTAATACTCAATGGGCCAAGTCGATTCACCTAGAGCGCGCTATCTTGTAAAAAAGTTTTTCAGTTTTTGACGAACAGTTTTCATATGGGATTGTGCATTTTATGTGGCAGTGAGTATCCAGACGGCGGAGAATCCAAGTTGATCCACGAGGTAGGAAAATCCATGGTTCGCGTAGTTCTTTAGACGTCTAGAGTACTTTGTAAAGCGACGGTTAGATTTTTAGTCCGGTAAACGTCATCAAAAAGCAGTTGAACGTCATTCTCAAGCAGTTGAATTGACGAAGAAGTCCGTATTCGTTGCACTGATATCCAAGCATAACAACCACAGTGACGGCAACGTCGTAAACTCCGCTGTTATTGCAAATGCCTTCAGAACGGTGAATTTCATACCTAATCAATTTTGTTATGTGAACATTTACTAAAAATAATGATGCTGAGATATTTGCAAAACCCCGGACCGCAGGTGTCTGCGGTGGGGAACGAAAAAAAACTGTTACACTTTCCTGGGGCTAACGCGTTCACAACCACACCATGCAGGTCCTTCGCTTCGCCTGTCTCTCAGCTAGTTCCATCGGTCAGGCCATCAGCAATTACCCATCAACGGGATTGATCTGGAGAGCCTAAATCGCCGACCGGTTATACTTAGGCTGTAGTCTAAATCACAATGTTACCTTTTTATTTATTGCCTATTACAACTTTTCACGGCAGGTTATTATGTCTAACTCAACCACAATGTAATAGGTAGTAACTGAAAAGTTAACATTTCATAAACAGTTCAGTTCTAAGTCGGTCGATACTAGTTACTGGAAACTCGCGTACTGCTAGAGTTACCAGGTTCCTTTGGAGTTGACCTTATCTCTAAGTACCACATTCTGACTTCGAAATCAAAGGTTGACTTAGGTGGAGATTTTACTAAAGCGCAGACAACGTTTATAAAATTGCCCATGCGACTCTCTTGACCGTCCGTAGAATTTGGTAAAAAAATGAAGACATAAAGCTCTTGGCCTTGATCAATCCCTGAGGGATGCGCTATGCACTCGACTTCACCAAGCATCGTTTGGAGGTGATTGAATGCATATCTGGCCTTTACGATAACTTACGATGGCCTACCGATGAATCACGCCAGTGCTGCTATACTTCCAGACAAGTCTGGTGACAGTTTACAGACCCTGAAAGGATGGAAGGCTCTGTGGGCCAGTGGCTTGGGATCGATCCCATATGTATTGCAGAGCGCCTCCGACCACTGCGCTACACGTGACTTTGGTGGTATCTAAAAAGTGGCTCATAAGATCGATTTTCAACTTGTTTTGATGTTGAACAATAAATTATTGTGTTGTTGTTAACAAGCTAAGATCGTATGATTACGACGAAGTTTATTCCATATAACATATTTTCATAATTAGCATCTCAGCAGTCTTCGTTGTCCAGTTTTTGAATGTGTCCGTAGAGATTTTACAAGTCTTTTTTTACTGTTTTCTTTTATCTGAAACTACAATCTTACCTTTTCGACCAGGCGATACCTCTTCTAAGAATTGTACCAAAAAACTGCGGCCGAAATCTTGTAAAAGTTTTTTGGGCCTTGTGCTAGAAAATTTTGCTTCCTCAATATGTTTTTTTTTCAAATGGTTTGTCGTTTTCCAGGAAAGGTGTTGTAATTTAGTTCGGCGAAGTTTCACGTGCAACCTGTGGTTATTTGAACGATCATGCTTTCGTTGAGTTCTTATCGGAAGACGCCGTTCAGAAAGCCAAGGCTGCAAAAACCATCAAGATAACAGATGTACGTATCAAGTTAGACATGGCTATATGTCATTTTTGTTAACTTTCTTTGTATTGCTGAATAGTGTAGACGTCATGTTAATGTTTCCAGGGGCTGTCTGGTGTCATCTACGAACGCCGAGTAGCATCTAAAGACGAGCTTGAAGGGCCGACAATTGATGTCAATGAGGTAGTTATATTTCATATGTTCTATAATGAAGGCGCGTGTAGAGCGCAGTGGTCAGCGGTGCCCGCAATACATATCGGATCGATCTCTGCAATACATATCGCAATACAATCCCTGTTTCTCAGCCTTATCACGGCTTCCATTCCTCCGGGGTCGATAAATTGGTACCAAACTTGTCTAGGAGGATAACAGCATTGGCTCGATACCGATCGGTAAGCCACCACGAGTCATTTTAAAGGCCAGATATGCATTCAGTCACCTCCAACGATGCTTAATGAAGTCGAGTGCATGGCGTATCCCTCAGAGATTGATTAACACCTTTTTATCGTTCGTCCTTTATAATGAAAGCGCGGTTTTCAGTAACGGATGCCTTATAATGTTCTTTCACTCTTGCCTTGGTTTCAGGTCATACAGCGTGTGAACGATTCTGGTTGTTCCGGTTTCTTTGAGCAAATCGACCTAATTGCGTCGTGTATTGGCATCACACAAACTGAGGTTAGTGTCGTTTCGGAAATAGTCTCTAGTTCTTCCCCAGCAACGTCTGACAACCTACTCCAGTCTAAATCCAACTTTCACCTTAGAGCCTAAGCCATCATTTGATAGCCTTTCGTGAAATCCTGCATAGTGCCGTATACGGGAAATACGATTGTTTTATGTTCTTTAAATGAGCAGGGACCACAGGGCTATATTTAGCTCACGGTAAGAGGAAATATAAGCCTTGCCAATATCCACTCCAACAATTCGGTGATCACCGAATTTAATGATTATTGTGTGCGACAGTTGATCTTTAGACAAAATTTTCAGAAATTGTTTGCAGTTTTTATGCTATTTTCATATAACTAGAAGGTCTTCGATTTGTTTTGGCTTCTGTACTACTTTGGGATATCACTATTTGTGGTTCCCTTCAAGTATTTGGTGTTGGCGTGTTCCAGATATCTCGACGTGAGGCGTTTCGTGAACGTTTTGAGACATTACTATGCCAGTACATCGAAAACCCCAATGTGGTTCAGTTTGGTTCGGCTTTAACTGGTGTCGGCACTAATGATTCCGACGTTGTAAGTATTTAATTATTTTCTAAGCTCATAAGTTATTTGATTAACACAATTAAGAGCGCATGATTCATATGACTCATCACCTATATTAACCGTCGTCCCGTTGATCGTCGAATGACTCGACCGGGTGCAAGTAAATCTTTCATTTCTTTATACTCTTATTGTGCAAACATGATGTGTTACTTTATTATTTATTACGGCAAAGCTCACCTTTTTCGGCCAATTTCGGCTCTTTCAGAGCCTGAAAGGGTCATGTTGACCGCAATGTACCCAGGCAAACACCTCCATAACCAAACAGAGAACATACCAAACCTAGATTTTGATCGAGCTGCAAACAAAATAATTTCTTAACGCGCCCACCGCCTGCTATGAGTCTTGCGCTGAGTATGTCACGTGGAGACCAACCCCACAGAGTATGCGTGGAAGCGTAATGTGCCTATCACATTCAAATATTTCTCTTAAATGCTGTGCGACATCACATGTGGTTATGAAGCCTTCCTTCCTGCGGTTCATTTTCGGATTCTTGGAATTAGTCCGGAATGCGTCGAGGATTTCTGCGCTTGTGTTTTCGATTCCTGTGCAAGGATCGTAACTTCTACCTCAAAATCTTCCCCAGTATGTCCCTCTCTCCTATGCGCGCTAGTGAAATATTTGCCTTCACTTTAAGTTCAAGTTCAACTTTTAAAGTTTTTCTAGGCCTGAAGTTGCTGTTCTATTCTTTGCTTTTTATTAAATTCTTCTAAGTTTAAGGTTTTTTCTTCCATTTCTACCTCTTGCGTAGAAGAATGGGTTCTGTTCGCTCTAGGAACTCGCTAAGCATCCTATCTCTTGGGGTTTTCTTGAAGAACTCTGGCAATTGGGTCAGTGGTCTTCCTGCTGTGCGTTTAACATCCTGAGGAATCCACTCGCTATTGGCGATCAGTTCATAAGAACATATAAATATGTCTATATATACATATATATATATATATATATATCGATTATTTTTGCCGAGGTTTATAGAAAGTCGGTCATTTGATTTATCACAATCGTTGTTAAAGCGGGTTATCACTTGTTCTGCCTATCTATTTGTTGGTGTTATAAGAACGATATCATCTGCAGTGCGAAGTGGTGTAATTGTCAACCGTCGATTTTTGATCCCATATTGTTCCATTCAAATGCGGTAAGTAATTTTGGCATGATGGTATCGCCTTACCTAATCCCTCTTTTGATGTCGATATTAATATCGTTGGTGGTGAATGGTGACATTTTCGTTGTGAAATTTTTATGTCTGTCACGAAGACTTTATATAATAAGTAGGGACTCCCTGGTTGTCCAGGGCTTCCTTGATTGCTTCTGCTCCTAAGTCAAAAGCTTTCGTTAAATTGATGAAAGTGAGGCGGAGCAGTCTGTTGCACTCTCGCAATACTTCAATGAGACATGTTATCGTGTGGATCTTGTCCGTCACACTGAATACGTTTCAAAATCCTTGTTCACATGGCTACCTTCTTACAGTATTCTTTCAGTCCTGTTAATGACGACTCAAGCGAAGAGTTTATAGACGACAGACAGCATGCAGATCGGATCATTGGTGCCGATGTCGTGAACATCACCGTTCTTGAGCAATAGCACGGTGTTGCTGGTCTTCCTTTCAATAAGAATCTTACATTCTGACAGGTAACATGTGAAGAGCCGAAATAGTGTGCTTATGGGGACTGGTGGGAGTTTTTCAGGTGTTCAGGTCTTTCCCTGTCCGGGCCAGGGTTTTTTCGGTTTTTAATCTTAACCAACGAAATAGCATGTCGGACTTTGGAAGAGAGAACCGGTAAGGCGACATATCCATCCTCCTTTATTTCGTAAAGGCCAAAATAACGTGGCTATTGAAGAGAATCGAGTAGCAGTCACGAATGATTTTCCCCATTGACTTTCTAGAATCTGCTAGTATTCCCCTTGGCTGTTGAGTGCAAACACTTTGGTTTTGTAATTGCCGAAGTTTAGGTGGGCTTTGCTAATGCTCTTGTTAGTCTCTGCAGCTTCGACCATTACTACTGCTCTTCTCTAAGATTTTTATCTCCTTTCTGCACTGCTTTGCAAGTCTAGACGTGAGATGACGGTTGTCTTTAGCTCCTGCGATTCCATGTTGGCGCATCAGCTCGAATATTTCTGGAGGTAGACGTTTTAATGACTCTCAAAGCCTCAGTTTTCATAGCGCTAACGTGAAGATGTTAAATGAACCGATCGTATTCCTCGTCGATTTTATCGAGAACGACATTTTCTCAGTAGATGACTAATGGACTGTTTGAATCCTAATTTAATTTGGTTTTAGGACATCATTTTTTTCTGAATTTGTCGGCTTTGTATCTTTTCCACGAGAAATGAAATATTCCACGAAGGAAACGGTGGTCTGATCTCGTGTAGAATTTTGGGACTACAGCGTCGTCGGTAGGGCAAATCCTTTGATTTACTATGATGTGGTCTATTTCGTTATGGTACTCTCCATTGGGAGACTCCCACGTCCAGCGTTGAGGGTGCGGCCTCTAGAATTGCAGGTTACCATGGATTGTCTTGGTCGTCATGATAAACTCAAGCAGCCGCTCACCCTACCCATTTCATTCTAATCCGTGGGTCCTCCACAGAGAACGTTCTTCAGACATTCTTCTGTGTCCAATTTTTGAATTAAAATTCCTACTGATGGCTTAAAGAATGTACGGTTTTCTCTGTAGAAGTTCTCCAAGTTCATATAGAAAGCTTCGACTTCCTTGTCGTTGCTTGATGTCGGCGCGTGAATGGCGCCTATTTATTGTAGGCGACTCCTGAGCGCCTTCCATGTACTTCCGTGGCACTCCATTGCAGGATTTTGGCCGAACTGACTTGTAGAATAGAGTCTACATAGATGGGAACATAACTACGCACGCATTCATGGACACGTCCTCGTCAACACAGAACGGTGTATAAAATCGGTGCAGCAGAAATAGGGAGCCAATCTCCTGGGTTCACCTGCGTTTCAAGTAGCATAAGATCGCTCTTGGTCCGCGATTAACCGCCTATCCGCCACCTGAGTATGAACCACTTTACCTTGCGACTCACTGGCGTCCGATCCCTCTATGAGGGCAAGATGTGGCATATTTCCAATGATGACCTTACAGCAAGTTACCAATTCGATAATCAGGTTTTGATGTGCCGCATAGGAGCGGAATGGCTGGTACTCTTTCTGGTTGAACACGTGTTTCAGCCACTTCGAACTGTGCTGTTTTCATTGAGACAGTAACGAGCATATTATTTACACGGTGTCGAATTCATGATTTTAAGGCTTAGAACAACATACCTCATCTCATAGTGAATTTTAATTGATAAAAGAAGCCTATAGAACACACATATTTCCACTTACCAAATGTAGGATTTTTCCATTCTACGAAAATGATGTTCTAACTTATCGGGATCCACTAGATGTACTTCTTTGCTTTTCTCTTTGTTAATCCTCGTGTTTCCGATGCAAAAGAAATTGAACAAGTAGTTTTTTGTTCAACACGATACTTTGATGTACTCCATGTGTTGTTAATGTTTGCGGTTGTCGTGATTCTTGGGAATTTTAAAATATAGATTTGATCAACAAGCATGCCGAGAAATGGGCAAAGTCCGGAACCTCGAGTGGGTTTCGAACACGCGATTACTCTTTGCTGGAAGCTCACGTGCTACCCACTACACTAACCGAGGCCCTTGCTTTGCCTTTACTGGGCCATTTTTTGCTCTGACGCTGCTATCAGCAGTCACCTGTCAACAGGAATGAATATGGTTGTGAGAGGCAAAGCAAAGACCTTGGATGGTATGGTTGATAGCATATGACTCCCTGTAAGAGATGTCCAGTGGAGGCTTTCAGTTTTGCTCATGTCTCAAGATCTTTGTGATTGTATTTCATATTATACGTGGATTCGACATTGAAGGAGCATTCTGTTAAGGTCACGTATTCCTTTACACCGATAGAGAAGAAACTCTTCTATACGTTTATGAAGTCGTAAACTACTTATTTGCTCTGTTTTCTTTTTGAAAGATTACGCGAACGTAACAAGAAGATGGTGGATAATTTCAGGATCTGTGCCTACTCTTCAGAAAAGATGGCTCCTCTCCAATGAATGAATTCTTACGTGACGAAAACGAACTTATGTCATGTCAAGTGAAAAACTTCCGAGAGAATCGTTTGCATTGTGAGGAACTGTGCGCTCTTTCAATACGAGGTGAAAATTAAGGATCATGAGGGCTTACCTAATCCTACAACTTAATTTCTTAGGTGAAAAGTGGACTTCGTGCTAGAAAATGCATATTAATAATAGGAAACGTACAGTATTCGTCGTCGTCCTACTGAAAAGAAATAATATTTAAGATCCTTTCAGATCAAACGGATTTGATATTTCGTATTCTAAAAGATATCAGATCAGAGATGAGCGGATTTTTTAAAAGCTTGTATGTTGTCTCGGATGCACGATGCCCAGTTATACGTTTTTGGTCCTATAATAGACATGTGAGTCCTTTTCGTAGTAAACTAAGAATTTTTTTCCAAATAAAAATCGTGTATTTTTTTTCTACTCGTCGAAATAAGAATATTGGTCTTGAGAAGGCGTTTTCTAGATGGTCGAATTGTCCGTAAGCAACGGCATTGGATATCAGAAGTCATCTTACATTGGAGCCGTCATTCAAGCTGATCAATCAGGGTTACTACGAAAGCTTGTGCTGGGCTTACGCTTCTGGGCAATCTCTAACGGGATTTTTACCTCGGAGAAGAAGAAAGTGAGCAATTTCTGTTGAATTGTTGTACATTTTCCTTTTATAGGAGTCCAATTCTAGACATGGAATCTTAATTCGTACACATTTACGCTAATGTTTTTCGTTTATCTTCAATACGAGAAAGTACTGCCCGTCTTCAGCCATTCTGATGTGGAGGTAAGTATTTGGGAAGTAAACATACCTTCAAATAGGCTGAGTAGCATACACCTTTGATTTTCTAGAATGGTACAAATCATATCCGATTCATATCCTTCCCAGTTGTTTGTTTTATTGCAATTTTTTTCTGAGTTTTTTTTTATCCAATCGCTGGTTTTCCCACCAACTTCGCAATGGGTGTGATCCGAAAAAGTTCTATTCTGCGCTTTACAGTTCAGAGGGTTATTTTCAGTAAAAGAGTTTGTTCATTTGGCGGGGAGACTGTTGCTGTTTAAGTACAAAGGTGTTACAGTGAAGACAGGCAGATTGGTTAACATGCCTCCACACAGTTTTGTCTGCAGAAACATTATGAGATTTCCATGTTTGGTTTCAAAAACAATCATTATGTTGTAAACTTAATGTCAAATGCATTTTTATATTTTCAGTGAGTTTTATAACCCACACCTTTTATATGTGCAGTTTGCTTCTTAAAGGCATTAAACAGAAATACGGCTGGGAGAAAGGTGAAACGAAGAACCCGTGTGGTGTGGTGGTGAACGCGTTAGCCGTCGGTAAGAGTAATAGCGTCTTCGATTCCCACTGCAAACACCTGCGGTCCGAAGTTTTGCCAATATCTCACCATCATTGCAGTTGTATTCCACATTATACCCTGCCATGAAAAAGGATAGGCAGTAAGTAAAAAGTGATTAACACTGTAAACAGAAATATTTGTTGTATTGGCTGCGTCTGGTCTTAACCTGTTTGTTTGGCATGCCTTGAAATATTTTTGGAGTCTGGACTTTTTGGCAATCTCTTACGAAATCCAGTACAGCGTCTCTTATTATTCAACGCTTCGCCGATCTCTTCAAGGATAGTATTATGTTTATGTCTGTAAACGCTAGTGAATTGAAAAAAATACAATAGACTTGTATTATGTATTCATTCGTCCCAGTTTTCCACACATTGTCACGGTGCATCCACAGTTAAACGGTGACCGTACGATGGATAGGTGGTGAACGAGTTTTTTTTCATTAGACCTAAGAATTTGAAATACTTCAGAAAAATTGAAAAAATATGTAGAAGAGCATACCAAGCATATAGAACGTATTAAACATGGAAATAACTAACAAAATACTTAGACAAATTAGGTAATAGAACGAAAAAATAGAAGATTGGGGCCCAGTCATTTTTGAAGTGCAGGGAACACGACGGACAACTTGAATTTGAAATCACATGATTCGCGGGCAGAATTGGCCGGCAAAATCGGTCGTTGAACAGAATTCTATGGGAAAGTGTGACATGTTGTTTGCTTGCCTATGCTTAAGAAATAGTCATTCAGGAATATATGAATGATGTCAGAGTTGATTTTGTTGTGCCGTGTTATTCATTATTCGATATCGACATTCGAAAGGTTTTCAAGGTAGGAAATTTTACTTATATCTTTTCATATAAGCCTATACTGTCCTTTAGTTTGTTTTTTGTAAACACCGAGTCGGGGCGTGCATGGCGCAGTGGTCGGAGGCGCCCTGCTGAGGATCGATCCCGCGCCTTTGGCTCGCCAAGCATTCCATCTCTCCGGGGTCGACAAATTGGTACCGGAGTTGTCTGGGAGGATTGCAGCACTGGCTCGATATATCGATAAGCCACTTTGTCATTGTAAAGGCCAAATATGCATTCAATCACCTCTAACGATTCTTAGTCGAATGTTTGGCGCGTCCCTCATGGATTGATCAACGCCGGGAGCTTTTTCCTTTATTCTTTTGCTGTGAACACTGAGTCAGTTTCACTCAACAATATTTCCTAGTTGATGGTTCTATTGTAGTGTATGTAACCATTACATGTGGGTGTGATATTTCAGAATTTTTTTGTGCTCTGCGTCGACAGTCCTTTGGAGAAATTAGTGTTCTCGATGCGAAATGGACGTCTGACGCCTCTTGATAAAATCAGCGAGAAATGGAATCTGAAGCCTAATTCTGTTCTATTTGTGCAGGTATAGGTTAGTGTTCTATCGAAAAGTCGGAAGGTAAAAATCACACCTTGCTGATTTTCTCATCCAATTCCTTTTAAATTCCATTGAATTCTGTGCTCTTTTGTCCTATTGAAGGGAAAAATATATGATTCAAGGGTAGACTCCTCTATACGATAATGTGTCTTTGTTAGTTACACCTACATCTGTGAGTTTGAAAGACTTTAAAGGAATTCAAAGAAATTAAATTTGAAGCTGTGTTCTTGTTATGAACTTCCTTATGTTTTCGCTCTTCACAAGTGAACTGAGTGTCAGCTCTCAAAGCCCGAGGGAATGCAGAGTTTGTTTAACGGAGGTGAGGCCGAGCTAGATAGCTTGCGTTTGTGCACAAACGGCATCTGGAATTTGGGGCAAGTTATAATCATGCGTCACATCAAATAGTGGTTCACCTGTTTTGTTCTTTCAGTGGCAAGTTTTATCTAATCAAAATCTTATTCTTCTTACCTCCCAGCGATTTACCGCCTCATCGTGGCTGGGAGGTGTTCCTGGGTGTCGGGCGTCGGTGATGTACAGCGAGGGGATTCATCCTCCTGGCAAGGTCTCCCAGGCTGAGAAGAAGTCCGGAGTTTTCATCAGGATGCGTAGCTAAGAGTAAAGCGATACCAGTATCCACTACCGTCCTGGTATCAAAGTCGCATGGTGGTAAATCTCCCTCTGATCCACAAGAGCAGCGACTGCCTGTGGTGGTGAAGACCTGGAGCAGACTTTGGCTAGGCTGACCTCGGGATTCCAGGGAACCACAATGGCTTAACCAGCAGATCTCCGAAAAGTGGAGATTGTGATGGGGACTGCAGAACCAGTGAGGGCAGGCCATTCAAGTATCAAGTATCATTCTTCTTTACATTTAAAATTTTAGGATCCAATCGCGCTGGCTGACAATGTGGCTAAAAATGTTTCTAGCAAGGCGCTGAGGACAATGAGACATGTGATGATGTTGTCGTTAGCGGCGATGAAACAGGATGCCGATTCGTTCGCAGTAATGTTACGGGTCCTACGCACGAACACCGCAAGCATTTCTCCAATGACAAACTTTCCACCAATGGGTACAGATTTTCTTATTGTCGTGTTAAGTATAACATTGGTTAACAAACACAATTTCTGAACACCTGTTTACGGAAATCATCGTTAATTGTCATGTATTCTCTCTAGAGTCGAATGTTTGCTTACTAGCTTTAATAGTGGCTCGCGAGCATTATCTCTTGCGATGCTGGTTATTGCTATATTTTCAGATGGCTCGTGCAGAATTTCTGGATTACCACGGGATTTCGATGAGTGCGCAGCTGAAACTGTGCTGTCTATCGTTCTCTGTTCGGTCTTGCGATGCGAAAATGTACCTCCTCCTGCGAAGCGAGCTCGTTTTGAATGCGTACGTTTGGTGCTATTGTAAGTGCATCCCGGTTGTGAACATGCTATGAGGAATATCTTAGGAGGCTGCTGATCTCGGGTTTTTTGTTGTCTATAAGAGGTTATGGATGTCTCGAAGAACGCTTCGGAAAAAGTGGACTTGTATTCTTGGTAAAGACGAGCAATTCCCTCTCCTTATAGAATCCCTTGTTAGTTTAGTTTCTTAGTTTTCTTTAGAAAGGAATTATGAAATGAGAAAATAAGTTTCAGGTCTCTATTTCCTTGGATGAAACAACCAAAAATGATTGCTGTTTACAGTTCCAAACCTTTTTCGAACTGTTTAATGATTCGCTTTGGTAAGTGTTACCTGTTGTAGTAAGGTACATCAATTTGTACTGGTAGTTGTTACTGTTAGTGTTAGGTTGAAAAAAAAATCTCGTATAAAGTTTTCAATGATTTGTAGTTTAGTTTAGTGGTTTAGTAGTCGTTATATATATTTGACTTGAGAAAATTTCAAAAGATCCTCATCCTTGTCGCCCTAGTTCGTTTATCTAGTCTTCTAATGTTTCCTTTGTTTCGATTTCTTAAAGTTTAACTTGCTAAAAACTCTCTGTTTTTTGGTTCTAGAAATTTTGGGAATACTATGCGTCACTCGATAGGTTTTTCCTTTCTTTATCTAAAAGGTCTTTTCACTTTGGTTGGTTCGAATGTTAGGTTAGAAACTTGCAGACAGTAAGGTGAAGTCGGTTATACTGGAAGATGTGGTCCATCTTGTAAGGAAAGGAATTTGGCATAGGATTCAAATTTGCATCATTTCATGGCAAATCTTTTTTAAGGAGAACCCACCCCACTCTTCTCCCAAGAAAATGCAAGTGTGTTGATTCCACACGGCTAAAGCTCTGATCCTTTAGAACCCATGAGCTTTTTTTTGTTCAGCTCGTCTTAAACAACAGAACGATTGAACAACTAGTTTATGGTCAGTGGCATACACTAGTATCAGCTCATTGGTGTTGGTCGCTTTCGGAATCGCTTCATTGTCTCGTCGCCATTTGTAGAAGATGGCTGCTTGTAATCGTCGTTCGTTGATCGCCATCATTTTATTGTCAAGTAACTGCTCCATTTCACACTTTGAGAGCAGTCAGACGAAGAATCTTCTATATCTTCTTTAAGCCTAATAGATGCAATAACTCCCCTTATATAGGCAACAACTGTAAAAGTTCCGCAACATATGGTTTGGAAGTGACCATTACCATGCATTACCGAGATTTAAGGACTAAAGATTCCCAACAGTGTAGATGAGAAAAAAAAGGAGGAAAAACTTAGTTGTTCATCAACATATAGTTTGGAAAAATTCGAACACAACTGTACATGAAATGCAAACTGTTGTGGTCTCTACAGCAATGCTTAAATATTTGTAGAATTCCGGACTGCAGGTATCTGCGGAGGGGATCGAACACACTATTACACTTCCGCGTTCACCACCTCAGCAAGCGGGTCCTTCGCTTAGCCTTTCTCTCAGCCGTGTTTTATAGGTGTTATCAGCAATCACCCGTCAATGGTATTTCTCTGGGGAGCACAAGTCGGAATTTAACTCAGTTAAATTGTGGTCTCTTCCAATATCACCATATGTTTTTATATTTCTTGATTCTCTAAACTGTTTTACTTTTAGTACAGTATTTGATATATAGTCTGAAGAGAGAAGGGACATGTAAGGCTACTACCAATGTATGTAATATTGGTAAAGTTCAAACCAGTGAAGTTAAGACAATGTTAACTTTTTTAATTTATATGGTCTTATAAACTGATCTTCATTAGCTGATGCGAGGTTGGTATAGGCCTTCCTAGTCGTTGTCGTTGTTGTTGGTGTTGTTCGTCGACGGCTCGTAACATCACGGCTTTGAAGAAGGCGAAATCGCCGAAACGTCAGCCATCGACCAACAACACCAACGACAACGACTAGGAGGGCTTATAACAACGCATCAGCTAAAGAAGTTTATAAGATCATATAAATAAACATATCAACTATCTATGCCGAGATACAACCACAACGTTGCTGAGATATTTGCAAAACTTTGGACCGCAGATATCTATGGTGGGGAGTAACGCGTTCACCACCACACCATGCTGGTCCTTTGTTTCGCCTGTCTCTCAGCTATTTCTATCGATCTTTGCCACAGCGATCACCCGTCAGCGGAAGGTGCATGGTGTGGTGATGAACGCGTTACCACCCGGAAAGGGTAGTAGCATGTTCGTTCCCCACCGCAGGCACCGACAGTCCGAAGTTTTGTAAATATCTCATCATCAAGGTTAAGACAATTTATTTCGAACTTTATTAGGGTATGACTGTAGTAATGACTACTTTAGTCTAGTGGCTATTTTAGTTTAATGAGCTTTTAGTATCTCGTATGTGCTATTACAGGGTCGGCTTGAAGTTGATCGAAGGCGATGCGGTAGATATCGGAAATTTTGCCCACTTCACTGAACAACTGCTGACCAAGTTGCGCGATTTCCTTGCCTCTAACAATGCTGGTGCTACCCTGCCGATCTTGGAAGACTACACAAGCCTCGTGAGAAAAGTATTTGAACGTGATCGATTTCATTTGAAGTTATAGTGTGCTAGGTAGTCTTAAAAGTTGTTGTTTCGAATGATTTCAGTTTGTTGTTTTAAGCTGTTTTAAAAGGTTGTTTTGGAATGTGAGGGTTGTTATTCGATGCATTTTCGATATGGATCTCATGTAGCAAAGATTTCGCAGTCAATAGTGTCTAACATTGTAAATTAAATTTCAAAGCACTGTATTACCATATTATCGGTACCATATTACGCGCACGGTCATCCGGACATTGACAGAGGTTTGCTCTATGGACTGCACCCACACCGTATTATAGGTCACAGGACTTTTCCGGGAGTACCACCTTCCCCTAGTCTTGACTTTCGTGGACTCTGAAAAACCGTTCGACAGTGTCGAAGCGAGTGCAATCCTCTCAGCACTCACCGGCCAAGGAGTGGACCTGTCATACATGACAGCTGTGACTGTTTTCGGAACTCCACCACAAAAACACAGCTTTTCCATGGACTACTTACCACGCCCATAGGAAAAGGGGTGCGACACCGTATCGCCAAAGTTGTTTATCGTTGTGACTGTCGTGTTCCATTGGATAATGAAGTCACTCAATTGAGATGAGAAAGGCATACTTACGTGTTGGTGCAAAGTCTCTATTAAGTCCTCGTTTCACCGACAATGCGGTCGTTTTTTTTTTAAAGAAGTACCAGTGAAGCGCGGACAATGAGCTCAATTAAGCGGGAAGAAAATCTTACGAGGAATAAATCAGAAGAAGACTCAGTTCATGAACAACCCGTGGTTCGAAGACAATCATGTAAACCTAGATGGTTCTTTGATTGCAGCGGCCACCTCATACGTATACCTTGGATGTTCAATGAACATAGAGAAAAACATGGAGGATTAGACAGAAGAAGGAGAGCAACCTGTGCCGCATTCGAGTCTCTCAAACGTGCCCCCGACGCGGTAAGTGGACCGAAAATCCGCGCTCACCTTTTCCCTTAAACAGCACTGCTAATAGTATGCAGTAGAGATGCGTGGACATAACTAAGTCGTAACTAACTAAGTCTAAGCTTCACTTTCAGCTGCAGTTGTTTTACAAATCACGGTATGAGACTCGCACTCGCCACCATGCTCGAATCAATCACTATCAGGAACGACGATTACAAGACAAAGAGGCGAACAGAAGGGTCCGCATAATTCATGAAGACGAGCACTCCGACTATGCTAGTAAAGGAGTATATTTGTGCCGTGAACCACTTTCAAGTAGGAATCTGCGGTTGGATGGTCATAAGGGTTCGTGAAACCTTCCTAGGCAGTAGTGAGGGATTAAGGGTATATGCAGGTATTCTTTAGTGCTGTAGATCTTCGTTGGAAACACCGGTACTCCATAATTTGGTCTTTCTATGGAAAGTAAATGAACGCTGACCGAGAATGGGATGATCGACGGTCGAACCATGTGTTGAATGTTTTTGCTTTGTAAACTCTGTCTGTGACAATCTTCTCGCCAAAATCAGTTGAAATAATAATCGTCGCACTAAGAGTGTGAAGAGGGGAAATCTCAATTTCAGTAGACTTTTGTTTCAATGATATTACTAGGTCGAAGAATAACACTGACTTTTCGACAAAATTTAGGGAGCAATTAAAGCACAGGGTTACAAATCAGTAGGAAGTAAGCTCTCCTCACAAAGGCCACTTGATATTATAGTTATTAATGTTAGTCTTTTATTTTCTGTCCGCTAGAATTTTTTATGGCAAGGCGTGAGGTGAATAACAACCATAAAGATGCTGAAGTATTCAAAACTATATGCAAAACTTATAAGCATTCAAAACTAATATGCAGAACTTAGAAAACGGGCCAGATCGAACCACGATTTATCTTTCCGGGGGGTCGCGCACTACTTAATGCACCACGGATGTTCTAGAAAACTAACCGTGAGAAACGCAGAGCAAGGGGCTCCGTGGAGCAGAGTGTAATCGTGGTTCGATCTACCCCGTGGTCCAGGTTTTGCGAATATATCAGTATCGTTGTGGTTGTAATTAAGGTTATTATTGTCCACTATAGAGAACATTCTTCACGAATATTGGAATGTTCTCTATGTAAAACAATTATAACCTTATTATAGCCTTCTACAACACTTGTCTATTTGTAATCGTCATACATCTATTCTTGCATATTCGGTAAATCATCTCTTAGCAACCATTTCATGCAATTGCCTCGCAGGTGGCTGGAAAGGGAATCAGCAGCAGTCAGCTGAATGTACTTTTCAGCATCTGCCGTTCCAAAAAAGTCTCCGAACAGACACCTACACCCTTCCACATGCAGCCCTATCAAATTGTGCTAGTAGAAAAACTTTTAGAACCCCTCTCTGGACGCCGTCTCTAGTTCTCTCTGGCAAAGCTCCACCCACTACAGATGTAATACAGGCAGCCCATAGGACTGGTCCTGAAGTGTTAGCCGCGTTCGATCAGTCTGCTCCCGGTCCCTCAATTCCTCAGTGCTCCAACACCAGTGTCTGCGTTAATTCCTTCAAGTGTATCACTTGTTACCATTTCAATCCCGCTCTTATCCACCCAGCTTACATATCGCCAAATATCACACATTATCGTATTATCGTTGCATTAATTACACAGTTGTACTGGTAGGCCAATCTCTTCACTCATAAGCAGCCCGAATATCAGTGATCAGGCTGCGTCTACTCATAACCCGTATCATTGTTGCATTATCTGTAGAGTTGTATTGTTATGATCGTTGTATAATTATGATAAACGGTTTAATTACCCAAGTTTGAGGTGTCCGGCATTGTGGCTGCTAATCACAGAAAGTCCCGCGTGGTGTACACAAAGGCGAGCAGCTAATTCCGACCGAATTGTCCTAGCTACTTGGTATTCCTACATAAACGAGCCGTCCCAACATATGGAGAACATTCTTCACAAATATTGGAATGTTCTCTATATCCACCAACAGATCTTTTAAGTCTGCTAAATTAGCGGAAATATGAGCTTATACATACGTTGTGAAAAGATGCCTTAACATCAGGTAAGTGATAGGAAACAGTCTGAGTTTCTCGGTTTCGGTACTAGCTTGCACATCGGACATCAGGATGTGTATCCCAGAAGATTGGAAGAGCCCATTTCCTAAATTGATTTGGTTCCATTTTAAGCTTTTTATTCCAAACAAAGTGGAATAGGTCTTAAGGGTTGAAGCACCAATAAGGCCATAATATTACGGGAAGAACAGATAAATAGAAAAGTATATTATCTGCTTCAGTGAATCTCCGAAGGATATGCTTATCTCAGTGGGATCATCAGGAAGATCCGCCAGTGTGTTGGTCGAGCACTTATAGCCATATCCGCAAGTATGGCTTTCTTGCTGATAATTTTCTCACAACTTTCGTTGTGTGTGATGCAGACAGCCTTCCGCTGTGGTTTATGTACTTGGAAGAAACAAGAAAGCATTCCAATTCAGAAGAGAAACGGACGAGTTCAGTACTGAGTTACGCTCTATTTTTTACACTGCTTCCCACGCCCTCATCCAGTAGGTGTCTTCTTATGCTCAATTCAGACACTAGCTAGCAAGTTGTTAATTGATGATTTACTACATGACCCGCACTGCTATATCACACTATGTGGACCAAAACTTCTTGCATTCGATGCGTTTCTCCGCATCCACCAAAGTTCGTGACTTTTCCGTCTTCGTTGCGAATGTCGCTGAATGCTGGTGAAGTCGACTGTTCTTGGAATCGTTACTTACCCTTACGTTACCATGCAGATCGAAGATAGTGAGCTTGTTCCAGACCACTCTGGTACTAATTTTCCAACTCTGGAAGCATGAAAAGATTGGTGCATCTGAGGCGGGTTGAAACAGCGCCTAGGTAGGTGGATTGAAACAGCGTGTAGGTAGGTGGAGCCGTCCGCGTAATGGACGGGTTACCTACCAATGCCAGCAAGAAACGGCATCCTGCTAGCAAGCAGTAGTCATAATTAAGTCACAATAACAATTGAATTGTAATAATATATAATAAATCTATGGACATTGATATCATTTAGATCTTTCTGATTCTGTAAAATTACCATGTCGTGTCTAACACATGTTCTCAACATATCTAAATTATTTACAAAATATTTTTACCACAAATAAATATACTCGTCAGATCTCCTCTTCATGTGATGACCTACTCGTAATGGAAATACTGAAGCGACACACAATATCACATGATAAAGGAAACTCAACGATATACGACGATGTTCCAACCACATCAACAAAATTCAATCAGTTTATGTCTATCTACGTAGCTGAAAGTACCACTTAAAGTGACAATACATTAGATTTCCTTGTCAAAGACGGCTTTCATTTACCTTCTTCAAAACCTGGAAACGATCATATTAACACAAGCAGCCCCCTAATCAAGCATTTTTCTAATCTTAATAAAATGTCTGCACTTGGTTACAAGCACATTCCTCACACCATTCAGCGGTGGTCATCATCCTAAACCTAATAACCTTACTCTGGCTGGCATAGTCGTTTACAGGCTATAAAGAGGGCTAAATCTAACCATTTGTGGAATAACCGCTACATTCAAAACCTCTTATCGTTTACCAGCTCACATCAAGTAACTAACATGTTTTGGTATCCAAACTAAAAACGCATTGGTTAGTTTGACTCAAACCGTTACATCTGAGCATAATTGCAGAGTAGTAGAAAATGTCAAAATGAAATTCAAAACAGTTCAAAAGTGCATTGATAGATTCTAGCAACTCTTGTATGAAACAAAAATCAACCGGCTAGCTGTTTATTCTTACTATGTGTACCAGTAGAGATTTTGAGAATAAAACCGAGTTTCCGTGGTGGCTGCACATTAATCATTCAAAAACCCATAAATTTCAATACAACTGCATAACTGAGCCGGTGCACATGTGAGGTCAGGTAGTATTAGTTGCACCTTTCATTGAGCAACGTCAAAACTCTTAATCCTCTTTGACGATCGCCTTCGGAAACAGACCAGCGGGCAATGTTTTGAAACCCTCTACTTTTCCACGATACCAATACGTATCCACCTGTAATTTGGTTACTTAAAACACTATGTCTACTCGTTACCCTACGTCTTCTGCGATACTCACGTCCTCAACAATGATTATTCGTTCACCCTTGGAGAAGTACAACATCTTTGGATCGTCAGTGTAGTGATCCGCAATTGCTGTTACAGTCTGGAATTTCACGATGTGATTATAGCCAGAGAACTACATGAAAACGAATACTTTTCTACAGATTATATTTAACACTAACACTAGTGAGACCTACCAGGCTGCAATGGGAGCAAAATTTGAAAAAATTTCGACGGTTATGCAATATCTAGGAAATTTACTTAATATTCACAGTATAGCAAGAAGAGAAGGGAAGATTGTTGCTAAGGACAACTCTCCTCCCAAAAATGATCTACTAAAGAAATTTCTCGCAAACACTGGAATTTTGTGCACTTCACTCACACGTCCAGTGCCTCCTAGCACCGCAATAGAAGCGAGTCCTCTTGTCTTTGGGCTTTTCACTGGTGTTCCGTAAGGAGCTAGGAATGAAAGAGGACAGAGACCCTCATTACCATTCACCCGTCCTTGAATCCAGTCCTGATCTAATCGAGCAATCACTTCTATGGTGTCTCCTGAAATAACCTAAACATCACTTAACAACCAAAAGGTCGCATTAGTATGGGATAAAACGGCTCACACCATTCGTTTTATGTACATTTTGGTTTAGTCAAAGATCACAGAAACAAGTAAGTAATAGCTAATCAGTTGTGTCAACAATTGTTTACCTGAACTACTCATGATATATGTTCGAACGCTGAAGTTCACTCTTTTTCTCAGCTGAGTACAATTGACTAATAATTCTGATTTCCAATATTAACATCGAGCAACCCTTGCCCATAACCATAACCATAGGGAAGAGATCCGAAGCTCCGACCTACGTCAACGATCAAAAATCAAAGATGCCGTTCTTTACGTTAAACAGTCGAAGATAAAGTGGGCCGGACACGTAATCCGTATGAATGACAACCAATGGACAAAAGCCGTTAGTGACTGCATTCCTCGGGATGTCAAACGTACTGTAGGAAGACCACCGACCCGATGGTCAGAGTTCTTCACAAGACGCCTCTAGGCTATAACAAAAAGATATGATGTTCAACGAGTCCTAGAGCAAGCAGAACCCACTGAGCTACTCTTGCAGGCGACAGGGAAAAATGGAAGATTTACTGGCACCCGGCCAAGTCACACGACGATCAACGGGGCTACAGGTGAAACAGGTAAACCCTTCCCCAATTCCACAGAAGTATTTCAATACACGATGGCAAAATATTTGTTTCGAACAGTTTATCAACTGTCTGCTCCATACAAACTATTCACTCTTCACTTATCCTCAACAGCATGAACAGAATAATGAACGAAGAGCAGACACGCGGTCAACCAGGGTTTCAATAAGGACTCGGTTACTTGGCTTACATCCACTCCATAACAAAACTGATTGAAATAACACAAAAATTCGAGAAACGCCTTTGTGTCATTTTTACTCATATAAAATATAGACCTCGACTCATATGAGACAGAAGCGGTCATTTAAGCTGTGAACATCCAAGGTAGCGATACTCAGTAAATAAAGATTCTTCGTGAGCTACAAAATAATTTTACAACCAGAATCCCACCATTCTACAACAATATCAACACGTATCGACGTAAATAGATTCCACAAGGCAAAATCATCTCGCCGAAATTATTTGCAGCCAACTTCGGGAACGTAATGCCTAAACCGAAATGTGACACGTGGGACTGAGAGTCGTTTCGGCCTTCGGCTTGATAATCTTCGCACTGGTGGTACTGGCGTCCTCATAACACTAAGCATTAATGTGGCTGATTGAATGGTGGCTAAATTCGATAACGCTAGTGGAAATACCGACCTATAACTGAATTTCAAGAATATGATGTTCACCAAAAATGGACTCATTTCTGATGCGCCGTTCACGTGTAATGAATACCACGAACATGTCCAAATACTCCAGATATGTGTGTTCAGAGTGAAAAGTAAATAAAGTGGACGATTTTAGTATACAGATGAGCAGCAGAAAACGAGCAGCTTTGGGAAGCTAACAAGAGCACCGGGGATATAGTGAAGAGGACGAAGAACCACTTTGTAACAAACCGCTGGACGACTTGATTATTCCTCGCTCAACGCATATGTCAACAACTTATACGTAAGCAGGATGAAAAAGCACTCAGTGTTATTGAACTTGCTGTAAACAAACGCTAGGAATATCCCGTACCACGCAAATGAAAGAGGGAACCCGTCCGTGTCATGCCAACGACCGAAGACTACTGCTCTCTACACCAAGATGTCAAAAACCATATGGGCTGGACATTTGACGTATCCTAATCCTGTAAACCAAAACTCATAGCCCACGGTATACCAAGCGCTGAGCAGGCAAACCATCAAAGCGATGGCCGGACTTCAAGTAGATTCTGAAAAAAAAGATATGGTGCTGTTTGATACTCATATATATATATATATATATATATATATATATATATACTACATATACTCAAATATACTGAGCGAACAGAAGCCATAAGGAGAACCAAGGACTATGCTGGGGTCATTCATTCAAAAACGGTGATGCAGATATTTCATTTGAATCGCTTAGTGGTTACCGTGTTACAGAGGAAGGAAGGCACTCGTGCGTGCAAAATATTCACAAAAAATGAGGAACATAAGTAAGGCAAACGACAAATAACTTGAAGTCCATCACTACAGCTCATGTAGATCGGACGCCGTCTTCATGTATTACACTCATTCTAGTTGTTAATCATGAAGATTCTGTCAGCGTTTCAGACCCCGTATGATTACGAAACAGTATCCGATCACATCTCATCGTCTTCGTCAAGCATTTAACGTCCTTCTAGTGGTCTTAACGAGCGATTTCCCACTTATCTATCGTCAAATGGTAATTCAATGCCGACCCATTCAAGTGATTAATTCACATCAGTGCTTTTATCAAACAGTGTCCCAACGGTTTACAGTCTCATCGTGGTTGGCGATGTGCCTGTACTGAAGAATGATCTACACCGGAGATTCCTTTCCTACAGCAAAGTGCTCCACGTTAAGCAAATCGACATCTTCACCTGCTAGTTCAGCTATCATTAAACCCTTACTATGGAATGAAGCAAGATTAGAGCACCTCATAACAATGGTATGGTGATATTCCTGTACTTTACCAAAAGCAGCCCACTGATTATAAAAATAGTGGTTTCAGTGGTACCTGTTCAAGTTACTCGATGCTGATAAAGATGATCTTTTTAAATAGTACAGATCATCAATTTAGAGGATCATTCCAGTCACTCGAAAGCCTAATCAGCGGAGTTAAAACATTAGTATATTCTACAATACAGATCAATCAAACTGAGATTTCACGAACTGTACAGCAGTTTATTCGCATAAGAAATTCGAACACAACTATATTACTCACCTGCTTTAAACTCCAGGTCGCCCTGTACTCCTGAAGAGTAGTCGTAAGCAGCTGTCATCTTCTCCAGATGAGCCATTTGAGTCGCCGGTTGACTCATCGGAAGACTGTCAATATTTGGACATGAGACGAAATTCGCTGGGAAAATACCTTCACGACCATTCAGTGACCCCCGCAACCATTCTGGACCAATTCGCTCGGTGGCTATGATCTGGTCGTGCATACGGAACTGGAATCATTTATGTCCAGACCACTTGGTCAAAGAGTTTCGGGAATTTTGTTTTGTTTTCAGCTTATTCCCAGAATAACCAGGCAAACACTAAGGGCATGTCACCGGCTACATAGAGATAATGATGGCCACCGCAGACGGTAGTAGCTACGGGAGGTAAAGAATTTTAAAAAACCCCATAAAGGAAGAATGAGACCTTTCAATGTTTATTTCACTTTTTACATAGATTTACGACCGTATACATAAACGCTAAGTAGAAGTAAACGGAAATGTGAAAGAAAAAATCAGACACTGAAGCAAACAGTTGTAAAGAAAGCAAAAGGAAATCAAAAGATATATTGCTCAGACCCACCGTAAGATCTCCAGGTGTGTTCGAAAAATAGTCATAGATTGCAGTTGCTATGACGGCAGCGGATGGTGGTGAACTGAAGCTAAGTGGTACTCGAATGTCAAGGAATGATAGCGGAACGATACCGTAACCACGAGTGCGATTATTCATACCTGAAACAATATAAAAAAAACAAAAACAAAGTTACTGATCCAAACATTTAACATTTCCATTCGTTCTTTATAACCAATGAGAGAGCGTGTAGCGCAGTGATCGAAGGCGCCTTGCGATACATATAGGAGCGCCCCAGGCTCACCAAGCCTTTCATCCCTCAGGGGTCAGCAAATTGATACTAAACTTGTCTGAGAGGACAGCAGCGTTGACTCGATACATCGGTAGGCCACCGCGAGTCATTGTAAAGGCCAGGTATGTATTTTTTCGTCTCTAACGGTGCTTAATGTAGTCGAATGCATGGTGTACACCTCAGGGATGGATCAACGCCGACAGCATTATCTTTCACTCTTTTTATAGCCAATCATCTGCCCACAATGTTCTTCTGAAGAATTCTAGAGGTATCTTACGAACTCGAAATAAATCTTCCCACCAATTCAATAATAGTACATAAAGCGGCACCTAGTTTACTGCAAACGACAGGACAACCCCATAGATAACAACAAATGACGGCCGAGATGCATTGTACACCATGCTACATGAGGGTGAGGTAAAGTGGACGAAGTACATTTTACTCAGTGTGTTTCTTCTTCAGTGGTTCACTTTACTATACAAAGCTTTTCAACAGTAAATTTGCATTCAATCAATAGCTTGTCCCGCACCGATGTTTTAGTAGGCATAGCCCACAAAAAACTATTCTCTTTGCTTAGTAATTAGCAAAAGCCTATTTTTAGACAACTTCATTGAAAAGGACCTTACTGCTTATGCAAATTATCCCTTCAATCCAATCACTGTGATAAATCATTATTATCCTATGGGATGGGCAAGTATAAAAACACCGCAATAGACATGACACAAGTAGCAAAACACTTCCAAGTGTTGAAAACAAGCAAGCAGTATACCTCAAAAGCGATAGAGCGGAGTCCCCTCGAAAATCTTGTCATGATCTTAATTCCTACAGTGCTTTAGTTGTCGAGAAACTATCTCCTATTGGCGAAGAACCAGTAAGTCCATACCTGATACGAAACTAGACTTCTCACGCGGCAACCATGCAAATCTGAGCGGAGTCAGGATTTGTAATAGTACCCAACTCCCACCGACTTTCTATATGTAGAAATTTGCTTAAGAATAGAATGCTGTCATACCATAAATCCACTGGTCATCAACGTCACGCTTTAGAATAATGATGTCGCCAGCGGCACACGACAACTCGTCCTGGTGAGAGCCGTTAAACGAGTGTTTAACAATGGCGTGTGGTTGAGTTGAACAGAAATCTGAAGAGGAGACTTTGACCTAGGAGGACATAGAATTTTAGATAGAACATGTAACAAACAACCAAAAGAGCATATTCAGTCTTTAATATCAACAAAAAATACTTAGCGTCCTTCAAAACCGGTTTTTAAATATTACACTCAGTTTGAGAAGAAGGTGCTGGTTCAATATTTAGTTCACTGGATTCGTTTAGCGCTTTATTTAACCAATAAATGATCAGAAAGGAATTTGTACAGTCCACAGGTTTTACTGAACCCTCTCACTGAAAATTCTACCGAACCGAATTCCTTCCTTTCCCGCATGCAATCAAAGCGAAAGAACTGTGGAGAAAAAAACTTAGAGAGGATGAAAAAACAATGCGACTAGAAGGTTCAAAAGCAAAGTGAAAAAAAAAATAAGAAAAGCTATCTGAGGTAACGTGGCTCGCTTGTGACGAAAATGCTGACGAAGGCGGACGACGAAATTTCTCATCACTCGACGTTATCACAAAAACATGTTTGTGTTCTTTCTTAAAGCGTAACAAGCAAGCTAACAACGGAACGTTAAAATTTATAACATATTGGCGAAAAAATCTTTGAGAAGACACAATGGCGATATCTAACACAAACTGTAAAATGCCCTGCACCTGTTGCATGGTCAGTACACCGGGTGCATAAAAACTCAGGGATACAAACAAAAACCTACAGAACTACAGTATTAGTGGAGTTGAAGTAAAAAAGAAAGGTGAAATTACGAGTTTCACCAAGAAGATCAATACCTGAATCGATAACAAGACGTGCACGGTTTTCGTTTCCTCTTTTTCATTAACTTAAGACTATACACTCAAACCATATTCGAATAAGAAGGCTAAGAGACATCTACATCTCTGTCCGAGTTTAACATCCACAAAACACAACCACAAAAAAGTGATATATTTGTAAGCATAGAACCTTTTGTATCAGATTTTTTCTAAGTTCTCATAGCTATTTGTGCTCACCTTTTCCACCCAGCTGTAACTCTTGCAGTTCGTTCACCAGAGAAGGGTAGACGGCGCCATTTGTGGTCGGAGAACTGGAGTGCGAGCTCGTCGATGGGGTCGCTGGCAGTGGTTTTTGATAGTCTGTCGTACTATAAGATATTGACGACGGTTGTGAGTTCCAATCGGATCGAGAGCAATTCGATGGCATTGCCGAATACACAGAAGCGGGCGCCACCGTATGACCGGAAGCACCACGATGAGCTGGTGGTGGCGGCGGTGGAGGTGGCGATGAGACCACATCGTCGTGCTTAGACTGAACAGGTGGCCTTGGTCTGAAAAACGTCGTTATGATTTCATTAAATAAACTAATTCAATGGCCATTGAAAGGATCAAAAGGATAAAGCTCTCGGCGTTGAATAATCCGAGGGATGCGCCATGTATTCGACTTCATGAAGCATCGTTAGAGGGAATTCAGTGCATATCTGGCCTCTGCAATGACTTGTGGTGGCGATGTATCCAGTTAGCGCTGCTGTGCTCCCAGATAGGTCTGGTACCAATTTTCTAACCCCGGAGGGATGGAAGGCTTGGTGGGCCTGAGGTGCGGGGGATAGATGCCATGTGCATTGCGGGGCGCTCCTAACCACTGCGCTACACGCACCCACTGACCATTACAGTGCAAGTAATAAATATGAACCGACAAAATTTTAAGAAACGAATAGTTTCCCTTTGTAAATTAATGGAACGCCAATGTGTGAGACAACATATGAGATAAACATAACTCATGCGATTCTAAGAGAAGAATAAAAAGAAAATGAAACTGGAATGATTAGGTAGATGAAATACACATGCATTATATGCACTGATTGTTAGTCATAAACACCATAAAAGAAGGACAAAGCTCTCGGCGTTGATATGTCCCCATAAACAGCATAGAAGAAGAAATACGTGACAGAAAAATAGCAAAGATTAGACTAACAATTAGATCCGATTGCAAAGATTAGAATGGTACGAAAACGTCGGAATGATGGGAACTCTTAACAAATGAAATGAACATTTTGAATTAGATGAATATGACAAGTCAAATTTGAATTAGGGTAAAGAAAATGGCCGAGAAAAAACAAAGCAAAAGCCTCGGTGGTGCCATGGATGGCAGGTGAGCCCCCGGAAATGGGAGTTTTGGGTTCGAAGTCCGGCTGGTGCTCCGACTTTTGCCCATATATCAGCATCAGTGTGGCTCTATTTCACGTAATACCGTGCTGTTAAAAAATGATAGACAGTTGACAAAAGTTAAGCGAATTGGTCCGGGTTTTTTTTCTTCCTTACAAATTGCATAGTCCCTTATTTTGTTTCAGAAACATTTCGAGTGAACCGAGATTCAAAAGATGACTAGCATTAGCTACTTAGAACGTGACAAAGTCCTTTTACACCAAAATATATTTAAATTTCGACTAATCCATAGTTCAATTAAAAAACATTTATGGTAATTTTGCTCATTGAGAATATTTCGGATATCTAAGTCTGTAATTAGTTTTTAAAACATAACGTTCAACTGAAGTGAATCATGAGTGTGTTGCTTACTTGTCATGAGTGTCCCTGGTGGCATAGTGCTTCTCCAGAGCGGCCACCAGCTGTTGTCGAGTCTCCGGATTGGTGGCCGCCTGCTTGGCCACTTGGCGGACGAAGGGGTTCTTGGCAGCTGCGACAGCTGCCTGGCGCACTTCCGGCTTCTTGGCCGCTTCGAAAAATGCTTTTGCAGCTGAGACCGAAAACGTTGTGTCTGTAAAAACGGATTTTTCAGTTGGCTGTGAAGGATTAACAATAAGTGACAAAGTTTTTAGGAGGAATCCAGATGGCATGTTGTTTATGATGAAGAAATCGATGGAGAAATGAACGTTAATTTAACCACTACAGTGACTGACCATTACGTTAATTAAATTGACCATTACATGGAGCAAGTGACTAAAATATAACGACAAAGATGCTGAGATGTAAGCAAAACTCGGTTCCTCAATTGGGATTCGAACTAGAAACTACTCTTTCTAGGGCTCACAAGCTACCCACTATACCAAACAAGGCCCTTGCTTGGCCTTTCACCCAGCTAGTTTTCTTCTCTTCTTTTTCTACTTTAACTGTGCTATAGGTGGCATATAAAAGTTAAACACTGACTAAGATATAATTACTTCATCGTACACACTACTCAGGGCGTGCGTGGCGTAGTGGTTGGAGACGCTGTGGTTGGAGGCGCCACTGCGACACACACGTGGAATCGATCCCCGCGCCCATGACTCACCGAGCCTTCCATCCCTACGGGGTCGGCAAATTGGTACCAGACTTGTCTGGGAGGATAGCATCACTGGCTCGCTACATCGGTAGGCCAACGCGAGTCATTGTAAAGGCCAGATATGCATTTAGTAACCTCCAACGATATTTAATGAAATCCAATGCATGGCGCATCCCTCAGGGATTGATCAACGCCGAGAGCTTTTTAGCTTTACTTACTACTTAGATATTTATCCATACATGACCTGTGAGCCCCAAAAATTCATTCCCTTTATTGTCGTAACCCTTATATTGTCAATGGGGTCAGCAAAAGTAAGAGTTCGGCTACAGCTTGTGAATCTGTTATTTTCTCTCCTCATTCACATACTGGGAGTGTATGATCACGGTTTCCGTGGAGTCCCAGGATAGGTATGCCAAAGCATTCCCAGGTCTGCAGCGGGGTATAACACCGATACCTCAATGCCAGATGGATGTTCGCTGCTTGGAGGATACAATTCTTCCGAAACGGAAGCAATTACTGTGATTGGTTGAATGACTCCTTCGTTGTGGATAACTTGGCTTTCACCTGTGAAGATCCTGAAAGAGCGGATGACTGCTAAGTCGGTAGTTTCAGAGCCAGCTATCGTAAACAGGTATCACAAGTTCTTTGCAATATAATGCCACATGATCTCAAGGAGTTTGGTAAAGCCCTCCTAACAAGAAATATTCCGAAACATATTCTATCAACATGTGACAAACGAGATTAACCAATAATGGTGAAATTTAGACTAAAAAGTTGAAGTTAATCTGCAAGCTTGTCCTCACATCCTCCCCATCCACATACCCACAGACATCCCCAGATCCTTATTAAATCAACAAAGACAATGTCAAAGAACTCATTAATGCCAATGTGTGCATCAATCTTCATGAAGTTTATCTTCTAATTTTCGTTTTTCATCTTCATTAACAATTTCGAGAAACATTTTCCAACCAATGCTGACGTTTTTGATGTTGTTCATGTCCTTTAGAGAACTAATGAAGCATATCTCCCCTAAGGAAAACAGTGAAAGTATGCTTAACCAGTAATTTTTTCCATTTTTGTCGATTTCACGTATTTCTTGCTTCCACAGCAAATATTTAATAAGGGACCATTTGGATTAAGATGGAAAGTAATAAAAAATATTAAGACGCTGGCCTAATAGATTCAGAATTACTGATTTTGCGACAGCTTTATGGTGGAATAGAATTCCACATTTTTGTGTTTTTTAAAAGTCTTTTCCAGCTTATATTTCTCATTAAAAGAAATCGATAAATATTTTTGACATTTCTAACAGGGCTTGTTCTAGTGTTTCTTTCCGGTCAACAAGGCTTCCAGTGAATCTGAAATAGCATAGAGTCAAGTACTGCTAAGCCAAAACCATTGGTTATCCAGTCATTTTTTTTAAACTGCTTCTGGGCGAAAAACATAAGTACGGTGGTAGTCGTGTATTTAGAGGCCTTTAAGAATCGAAGATTTAAAGTGGGAAAGATGGAATAAGAGTTGGAATCCACCCTACCTACCACCCCCACACGCCCCCGCCTCCCCCATTTCTACTTATCCTCGGCATTACTCACCAACAAATTCTCATCGGCGATCAAACAGTGCCGAATCATTAAGACGGGAATGTTTCTAGAATTTCTACAAACCACGTTTATTTTTAAAAACGCTCATGAGTGACTTATTTGAGTACGGTTATCGTATTTTTGCAAAAAAAAGTAGTAGATCAAAACCATAAAATGAGAATGAAAAGCAAAAAAAAGAAAAAAAGAAGCCAGCCATCTATAGCGAGAAAAACTCAACAGACCTGATTTTGGCATATTGCAGGAGTGGAATTCGGTTCGTCAGCTAAAGAGTATTGCCAAGATGCCGTAGGAATCACTTCGGTTTTTTGTAAAATAGGACAAAACTGTTGCGCAAAAGGTGCGACAACGAATTCAGTGTGGGAATAGAAGCATGCGTGGGGGCGGGCCTACGAGCGAATCGATTGCTGCGCATTCTCACCGATCTGGAGACCAGCTCGGCAACCGACGGGTGAGTATCGTTACCAAGGTAAAAAGTAACTAAGTGGAAAGGAATCATTTTCTCTTCAGACTGAACTCATTGTGCTTGTTTCATCAATAATTCGTACCAATCAGTGCCAATGAGCATGTTTATTTATTGATTATCTAGATGTGAACTGGCATCCTTTTTTCGCTATCTAGTTCGCCCCACAAAAAAATCACAATGAATCTCCATGTGAAATATTTGACCACAGTAGTAGTGATGATAGATCATGTGAAGTGGAGAGAAGTCAGGACACCAGGATACGTCCGTGGGTAGCCTGATTTTTGGCGCGCGTCAAAAAATTTGTATGTTTTTTCCTGTAAAAAGTGCTGTTCAATTCTTTCTTCTATTGTTACGACAGTGTGCTGAGTATATTTTCGTTCTCAATGAAAAACTTAGTCGTCAATTCGAAAAACCTCACTTTTCTTATATTTGTCATCGATTTCAGCCTTGTGTTGTGGTTGCTTTGCAGTTGATGGTGATGACGACTGTTGTGATGAATGTCCGGACACAAACATCACACAAATCACGATTCGAGAATTTAACCAAAATCAATCAATAATGATGTAAGTATTTGTAAATGGAGGAATTTTGAGAAGAAAACGTGAATACGCGTTGAAAGCATCGGAGTTTCAACAGATCAAATATTTACCACCACGCAACTAGTTTGATACCAAGGTGGTGGTGGATCGTGGTATTGGTATATTCTTAGCTGGGCTTCCTGATGGAAACACCGGACTCCTGAGCTTGAGAGGCCTTACTGGAGGGACGGAACCGTCTGCTGTACATCGCAGCCAGGTAGACGCACCGGCCACGATGAGGCCATAACCCATTGGGAGGTTTTTTATTTATTCGCTACATAATACTTTAGAGCGCTTTATGGCGTCAATATAATGAAGGAATTCAAGTTGTATGTTTTTGTAGAATGTAAAACGTAGTTCCATCGTATCGACTGTTCCTCTTTCCTTCTGAAGACTTCGTTCCTCCCAACGGTTTACCGCCTCATCGTGGCGGAGCGGTGTTCTTGGGTGTCAGACTGCTATGTACAGCGAGCGATTCACTCCTTGGCAGGGTCTCCCAAACTGAGAAGGAGTCCGGTGTTTCCATCAGGAAGCGTAGCCAAGAGTAAACCGATACCAGGATCCACCACCGTCCTGCTATCAAAGCCGCATGGTAGCAAGTGAGAGGGATAGAGGTCGGGAAAGAAGCTATGGTGTAAGCATCTTTTTTTCATCTGTGGTTTGCTGCCTTCTAGTAGTAATTTAACGCTCCTCATTCTTCCAAATCCAATGAATTACCGCCTCTATTTTCATACATGTGAGGGGACGGTTTCGATTTCAAGAAACCGAGGAGGCAGAATAAGAAATCGGTTTTTTCGCCATCTTAGAACTGTAGACGGTTTATCAGACAGGCTGACACCGACACTTAAAGTCAACTGTAGCAACCACCTATGTGAACAACAACATGTAACAGAAATACCACTATCTTGTTGGTCAATTTTCTTCATGAGGACATCGCACGACGGTGTCGGATTTGAAGTACAATAGCAATAGGCAACTTGGGCAAACGATACGATGTGGTGAGAACTGGAGTAGTTCAACGACTGAAGAGTAGATTGAAAATGAAGATAATGGACAACTCGTATGAAATGCTGAGATATTTGCAAAACTCGGGACCGCAGGTGTATACCGTGGGGAACGAACATGCGCTGTTGTCCTTACCGGGGAGCAGCGCTCTTCACCACCACACCATCCGGGTACTTCCTCTTGCCTGTTCTCAGCGAGTTCTATCGATCTTTTTGCCATCAGCAATCACCCGTCAACGGGGTTGATCTGGGGAGCCAATATCGGCAATTGATCTGGGGAGCCAATATCGGCAATTGATCTGGGGAGCCAATATCGGCAATTGATCTGGGGAGCCAATATCGGCAATTGATCTGGGGAGCCAATATCGGCAATCCCGTTGACGGGCGATTACTGATGGCAAAAAGGTCGATAGAACTAGCTGAGAACAGGCAAGAGGAAGGACCCGGATGGTGTGGTGGTGAAGAGCGCTGCTCCCCGGTAAGGACAAGAGCGCATGTTCGTTCCCCACTGCATACACCTGCGTTCCGGAGTTTTGCAAATATCTCAGCATTTCATACGAGTTATATTTCGCAACATACCCTGCCATTAAGAAGAAAAAGCAGTAAGTAAAAGGGTTAAGATAATGGACAACATCCTCTTCTTTGTTCATCTAATGAATATTTATTTGAAGTTGTGTAGTACTGTGATATTCCCATCGGCTACAGTATCCAATAGTATACACCATTATGACGATTATTCAACCTACTAACGCTTTTGAAAGTCTGCAAATTCTTTTAAATTTTTCTGTTTGAAGGTCGCAAACAGAAGGTTGAACATATACTGAAGTACGTCATTCGCCTTCACTTACTATAGAATCGTTATGTAATTTTATTCTACCTTGCTCTTCTTTGTTTGTGCTTTTCTCTTCTTAGTCAGTGTAACTCTTCGCTTCATGTACTTTTTAGATTGAATCGCTTAATAGGCAATAAAACCAAAGAAAAATACAGCCACAATGTAGCTGTGATATTTGCGAGACCCAGGTCCCAGGCTAGATTCGAGCCCGTAACTATCCTTTCCGCGAGCTCACGAGCTCATATTGTCCTGCGCTGCTGAAGCCCTCGCCTTGCATTTCTTTCAGCCACATGAGCTTCCTCAAGTGTATTCGCGGGTTTGGATCTAGCCTGGGGTCTGAGTTTTGCAAATATCTCACCTTGATTGTGGTTATATTTTACATAATACCTTGCCATGAAAAAGTAACTTGAAGCAAATAAATTGTATAAAACAAAGGAGAATTTCATCAAAAGGATATTGCGTTAAAGCTAAACAGCTTCTTATCCATAGATGATCAGTTCTGATAAGGTTATCGAGGTATAACGGACGGAGGCAAACGTTGAATTACTGGGTCATCTGCTGTGTGATAACAATCGTGCTTCACAATTTTAAC